ATAGAAGTTTGAGGGCCGGAACCTGCATTTGTACGAAAGGATATGGAATAGTGGCCGTTCAGGATAACTTTCATTTCCCGATTTGACAGACTGGTTCATCTCAAAAATTTGTTCGGTGATACCGTAACTTTTCAAATACTGAAGAAGACCTTTATGCCTATCCCTGTTGAAAGCTCCGATATGTCCAAAGAAACAGCTCGAGCTTCAGCGTTCTAATTTAGAGCTTTATAGAATTTTTCGCAATTATCGTCAGTACATGAAAAGTTGACATGAAGGAACGAAAGCCGTATGGCTTGTCTTCAGACAAGCCCTGCGACCGGAGATGCTTAACCTATTCAGCATTGATTAGAGCCTCTAGTAGTTTTCGAAAAAGAAGTGGAAGGCTAATAGTAAGAACGGTTGGACGGTCCACCCGAATTCTTAATAAATGGAACAACAGATGATAATTTCGAACAGGTAGCGAAGTATCTATTCTACATTTCAAAGAGAACAGGGAGCCAGATCTGAGCATATTTCTTAATGAATATTACAGGGATACCACCAGCTCCACATGCTTTGTGGGGATCCAGATTAGATGTGATTGAATAAACCATAAAATGGGTTATATGCATATCACAGAACAGAGACTCAGTTCAAAGTGGAATGTTAGGAATGGATACTCCTGATGTGTTTAAGTAGAACTTATGGGCGAAACATACAGCTTTATCTGCAGAAGATGTTAACGCCCTAAACTGATTTAAGAGAGGAGGAATAGAAAACTTACTCTTATTTAATACACTAGTACAGAGCCGCCGGTAATCACGAGAGCCAAAATTTTAGATGCAATTCGGTGTCTCATTCTCTCAGCAAACAGAGACTTAGCTTTTTCTAGGACACCTTTACAATTATTAAGTGCAACCCCGAATAGGCGTTTGTTGTGATGGGAGCTGTCGCGCCGGTATAGCCGGAAATAGTGGTTCCGGATGGCTATATCGACAGAATATGCTGGTGCGAACCAAAGACATTGAGCTTTCACCTGGTTTTACTGAGAAGAAATAAAATTTTCATCGTTCTCTTTCCCTTTTATATAGGATTAAAATAAATAAATAAATAAATAAATAAATAAATAAAAGAATTGCAGTCTGCGTTTCGACAGCCCTAAGAAGAAACCAAGCGTTGGCCATGGACTTTTTCAATGTTACTACGGTCCGATATAAGATTTTAGGACTGGCAATCATATTTATCTCAAGTAGGAAAAGGGAATTAAGTTGAAATCGTCAATTAACTTTAAATGGGCGTTATCAATTTGCATCATTTCAGCCGTCAATCGCGATCAAATGCCCATTAATCTCGGAGGGGAAAAACATGCATTACAACCGTATCATCACTAACTGTATCTAGGTATATATAGATAGCCTGACGGGTTCCATCCCTCTTCAGGCTATTTGATATATGGATTCAAAACTTTCCTTTACATTTTTGCGATTTACGTTTGTCTGTCACATCCTCTAAAATAGTCAGACATTGACTGGTCAAAACAAAATTTTGTGAAGTGCAAACAGGTAAAGCAGTAAAAATACAGTTGGTTTTACTAGGGTGTGTAGCTTAGTACAATAAAAGTGCATTAATACATTTTGAAAAATTATTATTTTATTTAACATACAATATAATCCCACTGAAAAAATAATTAAAATAACAAACACTTATTTAATAAAAATGCAATATTTTTTTCGCATATCTATTTTTTAAATTTCTAATATATACAGTTTCCAGTTTGCCTGAGAATTATAAGCCAATCACAATCATAAGCTTCATAAAATTGGATTTGGGCTCCAGAAAGAAATATTTACGGGTGGCCAGTTGTATGTTTCATGCTCAAAGGTGATAATTCCTAAGAATTTATGCTTCGTGTTGAAAAGGAAAACGGAAAAAAATCTTTAAAATATATTGTCTACCATGATGTCCTATAAAATTAAATGAAATTAAACAAATAATTACACCACGATCTAGGGTTTTCAACAAAGTATTTTTCCAAACAAATCAACTTATTGAAATATCATCGATTGGTTTGTGAAATTGAGAAAAACGTAGAATTTGTAAATCTTGCCAAAAATGTTACCGAAAACTTCAACAATACTAAATACTGCTCAGGATTTCAACACGCGTCATTCCTGAAAATTCTTGTAAATAAAATTCGCCCAGTCCAAAGATCGAGAGCGACTAATAATAGAATATTACTAACATAATGTGTGATGTGAATGTAAGAGGAGAAAATATGAATGGATTATTATGAGGATAAGGAGGCTAGATAAAAATTGAGTTTTGGACTGGAAGAGTGTGTAGTGTCAGGGAAGCATCCACACGGGATTCACCTCAATAAATGTGCAGTCCAAACAATTGAGTAGAACTTCCTTGTTAAAACACGGATGACGTGACGGTGATTCGACTCTATAGGCTTCAGGTGATATTCCTAAATATATGAAGTGATAATACTAAGGAATGGATCTCGCCTGGGCATTTTCTCATTGGAACTAGCGATAAGCAGCGGTAAGCCTGCGCAATGATACATGTAGGCGGCTGAGTGGAGAACAGGTTCTCCCTCCGTAAGACCATAAATCACCGTACAAGGTCATAATTACGAAGTTAACGAACCAGATTCAGAACTCGGGAACGCTGAGTCCATTTTTGGCGTCGATAGCCATTACGCTACAAGTACGTCCACCGTCTGCGATATAACTGATTTGATTAGTTTCGGTCTTATCTCAATAACTTCAAAATGAAATAATATTATTGGCCTGGATTGTAGACTTGTGTTTGTGTTGGTGGCATCTTAAAAACAATTATAAGTCAGTTTTCATAAACATGTAAAAAAAAAGAACCCTAATCCCTCACAATTTAAAAGAAATGGCGCAACAAAAATTTCATTTCTCAAGTTTGCCTACGTTACCTCCTGCCATAAGTAGAATTAATAAATATTGAAGTTATCAAACAGGATAAAGATTGTTATATCCTACCTTTCATGCCCGCAACATTTTGAAAGAATCCGTCTTCAACATCTTTTTATATGATTTACGAATAACCACTAAAATGTAACCACTACGGCAACTGGTCAAAGATAAAATCACAGACTCTACAACAAACACAAATAGCATATTTCCTACCCCCGCCTTTTTGTTAGACAATCTCACTCGGGGATACATTATCGCGACAGGCTTTGACAAAAAAGAAAAAAAATACAGAAAAAGAAAAAAAGACAACCACTCTGAAGGCGGTAATATCATTTGTTGGGATCTTTGTAACAATTTTACCTTCGCTAGATACACATAGCTTTCAAGTCTCCGTTTAGTCCACTACAAAGCGAAATAAAGGCTGACAAACTTTTACGTTGCCAAAAGGTGAATATACAACCATCTAGCTCACAAAAAGAGATAACACGTGTGGCCCTGCAACTATTTATCAAGTTTAGTCCGAAACAAGAACAGATGAAGAAGATAAGGAAAGAGAAATTGTTTAACCATATTTATTAACCATATCTTTACGATATATCATTAAGGATATCCATGTCGCTTCGAATACACGATCCAAATAATAATGTTCATGCACTAGAAAGAATGAAAGAGGAAAAATTATATTGAATCATTTGTTAGGTCTTATACTCAGAAAATTGGTTCATTGTGTTGAGCTAGACAATCTTCCTTGCCATAATCTGTCTTAGATATTTATAAGTTTTCTCTCCGGTCATGCACTGAATAAAGGGTTATTAAAAAGCAAAGTGTAGATTTCGAAGATTGAATAAAAACAACTGTTAAGATATAGTAACGCATTCAACACATGATTGGATAAGAAAAGGGGTAATGTTCATTGTTTTAAATTTACAAATCGCAGTAAACAATACGAGTTTTCATGTCGTTTGGCCAGTTTAAGGGTTGACACAATTTATAAGAATTTACATTTGCATAAAAGATAGGGTACCTTGGCGTGATGTAATGATTAGCCAGCTTGTCCCGCTAAAGCAAATTACGACAGAATCGTGAGTTCGATCCTCAGTGGTTACTCCATGCGTTCTGTCTTGTGTCACATCTAAGTAACGCTTAGAAAATCAGCGTGTTTATATAAATTGTGAAATAACGAAAAAACAACAGAATTAAAAAAAAATATATTTATTTAATAACTTTCAACCTTTTTCTACCTATTAATGTGTTGAATTGTTTTTTTTATTAAATTCTCGAAATCTGCTTTTTCTTTTTGAATAATCCTGTATTATTGACGCATCTAATCAGGAGCTTCTGCTATGTATTTAGATATTTTAGATAAAATAAAAAGAATAATCTGCATGATTATTTATCCTGACCTGGCATGACGGCTTCAGTCATTTTTCCACCATCTGTCACGTAGTTTTCCTATACTCTTTCGATAGATACTTTCATGGTAATATTTCTGATGAGTTCTCCTCTATATCATCCCATCAATTTACAGTTCAAATAGTTAAATTTAACCGTAAGTTCTATTCTAACAGTGTCTTCTTTCATACAACTCGCTTGTGGAACTCTCTTCCGGCTTCTTGCTTTCAAGTCCAGGCGATAATATATATCAACAGCTGTAGAGTCGCGTGGGATCTCATTAAGCATCGCTGCTAGGTAGATGGATAACAGTGTTGGAACAATAGTCCGAATAATGTAAATAGTGATCTCTTTTGTATTCAGGGTTTAGCCGTCAAAAGCTTTCAAGGCACCATTAGATGAATTCATGAGGCCGAAAATCTCTTTGGTCCCTGCATAAATGCGACACATAACTCCTTGTGTTTCCCTAGACTTCAGAGGAATTACCACAAGGTGTTCTGAATGTATTTTGTTCGAGGTGCGTAAACATCGGACATTGTCTCTTCGTCTGGTTGGTTCATTTCGGCCGCCTGAAACCTATCTCTGCGATAGAAAATTTCCATCTCAAACCAAGACCAGATCTCGTCGTCGGACTTTCGATATCATCCTCTGAATTTGGTAACGTGGAATATAAGAACTTTAATGAACAAGCAAATGACCTACCGACCTGAAAGGCGCACCGCGCTTGTTTCCCAAGAACACGCACGTTTCAACATCGATGCTGCCATTTTCCCCAGGGAAAGTGGCGTGGAGGAAGTTGGTTTGAAATTCTTCTGGAAAGGAAACCAATGAATTGCCCATCCATGATCATGCACTTGCCATCAAAACAGAGCTAGTCAAAAGACACAACTTGACCTCAACATCAAGAGGTGAACGTCTGACGTCCATTCGAATTCCACTTCTGAACAAGATCATCCTCACACTGATCACACTTTATGCTCCAACTCTACATTCAGAATGACGAAATTAGAAATGTTTTCTACGACTCTATGAACACAAACAAACGAGCCGTTCCAGGAAACGCTAAACTGATTATCCTTAGCAACTTCAACGCACAAGTCGGTCACCATCACCATCTCTGACAAAGTCTCATCGGCAAACACGGGATTTGAAACTACAACGTCTCCTACTTGGACTCTGCAGATAACGAGCTGACGGTGATGAGCACTCTCTTCCGTCTTCCAACACACCAAAAATAATCTGGCAACACTGACTTGTTCAGGATTAGGTGCTGATCATCCCAAGCCTTCCAAAAAGTTGTTGACCAACATTTGACGGAAAGGCAGAATGGGAATTCTTCACCGAATGACTCAAACACTTTGCGTGTCGCTATATCTGCTGTAGGAGAGGTTATCGGCGACTCAAAGCGCCAGAACCAAGGCTGGTTCGCTGAAAAAGGGATGAGGAACGAGAAGACTTACCTCCCGCAAAGTGAATTTGCTTGTCGTGTCAGGTCCTGTTGAAAGATCGCGACTGGCATTAAAGGAGAAATGGATTATTCCGAAATACTTATATCGGTGCAGACGTTCAAAGAAAAAAAAAGACTAAGAATTCAAACCAGCTTGAATTTATAGAATAGGAAGTCTCGGGCGAACGAGAAGTAAGTCTCGTGTGCAAATTTTCGTTGCACCAGACGCAGGTATAAATAGCAAGTGAAGACGGCAGGACTTTTTGTTGGCGTGCTTATATTATTATAGTTCCGCATTGATTTCGGCCACATTGATATTGATATTTCTGCCACATTTAGTAATTGTGGGGTTTTATTACTAATATTATCTTCTTTAGTTTTTGTAAATAGGTTTGTTTTCATATTGAAAATACTGATTGGGGCTTGTTTTTGGAATTGTTATTTTATTCCCCTCCCCCCCCACAGACCCTGAATTGTAAATATGGGGTCTAGTTGGTATTTTCATAGAGACAATGAGGTATTATGGTGAATGTAGTAAGAAAGGTACGTAAGAATGTGTTGTTTTGGTCTAAGGAACATTGTATGATTGGGTCAGTGTTTGTGGCTAGCTAAGTTATCGTTAAGACAGAAAAAGACCGTCTTTTCCTCAATCCTCCTTTCGGCCTTGTGCCATATTTATGTATATATCAGAATAGATATTACTTTAGCTGGCGTGACGGCGTACGTGCGTACTAACGAGAACGAAAGAATAAGGAAGAAGTCACTCGTGACAGCTCAGTTGATAGAGCGGAGGACTGGAAAAGAAAGCAAGAACTTTAATCCAATTCAGTCATCGCAAACGACAAGCGAACTAAATTACCCATACCAGGCTTGGCGTCAAATGGTAAAATAATCTATAGAAATAAATGAAAATTTATCTGAATCATAACTAAGTATAAGCAGAGTTCAATACAATAGAAAAACATCGAGGTTAGATACCCAGTGTGTACTACAGTAGACACGTTAACTATAAGAATACGATGAAGCGACCAGCTTATTGGAAGTATGGTGTATATAGAAATGGCATGAATTATTGACACAAAGAAAACATGTGTTTTAACAGAGGACGGAAAATACGACATTGGAATCCCAAGGCGATTTGGGATTGCGAAAGATGCTTACCAAAAGGTAAGCAAAATATTAAGAAACGGGAAAATGTTGTTAGAAAGAGTACTGAACTCTTACGTAGTATCAGTTCACCAATATGGCAGTGAATGTTGAAAGTCTCCTCAAAGATGAAGACGATACTTTGACCAACAGAAATTAGGTTCTACTGAAGGATGCTGAAGATACCATGGGTCATACCTATGAGCAAATACAAAGTTTAGAAAAAAATGAAAACTAAAAGGATACTTACAGTTGAAATTACTAGGACACAAAATCATGAGAAAGAAGTGGAAAAACTAGTACTCACTAAATAGATTGATGGCAAGTGGGAGAGAGAAAAACAACGCATAACCAACATGGTGTGCTTGAGTAATTGGAGTGGAGGAGAGGGTTTTGAAGAAAAACATTATTCAGAGCTAATATAAAAGAAAGGAAATCGTGGAGACCTCTTATTGTCAACGTTCTGAAGGGAATCGGTACACAGTGTAGAAGTCAAGTGACTTACCTGCCAACATGGCTGCCTTCTTCTGTTTCCTTGAAAAGCAAGCCAGCTGATTTTACCTGATTTTATAGGAGAGTGCCTAATACACCAGTTAGGTTGGTCCATTTTGCTAGAATGGACCTGTCCAATACATTTGCATGAGTGTTCTTTATTCACCCATATATTTCTTCATGAAATGACTCAGGTCAGTTTAGCTTTGGCTACACTTGCCCATTTGTGTGTCAGACCACTGGCAAGCTAACCAATATTCTACACACAGAAAAAAAAGAACCTTAGTAAGATGTACGGCTATTTTGAAAAAACTTCTTCTGGAAGAATCTGTTTCGCCTGTTTTGAAAGTAACTGCCGTGAAAATCACCATTCGAATTTTGGCATTTACCTGAATTCAAACACTGAACAGATGAGAAGAATACTTAGCCAATGGGGCATATTCTTTTGTGTCCATCTTTTGATTAAATTTTAACTTCGATTTTTAATGGGTTCAATAAAACTGCTTTCGTTTAATCACCACAGAGTACCCTCTCTCCCTGTCATGAGAACCCTCTACGCCTTCATGTTTTCAGTTTTTCCACTGATATGACTTGGAGCGACTTTAAGTAACCACTTTCTACGTCTACTAGGAAGAAAGTAGGATTGTATCACGCCAGAAATTTCATTTTCTCAGAATACATCTTGCACATTTATTGATCTACCATTCGCCCGTGCATTTACCACTGTTACTATATCTGGTCTATTTTGAACATCACGAGATTCTTGACAAAATATAAAGGCGGGTCTGTGATGTAATCGATCCTGACTAGGTATTACTGTAACACGTCTTTTTGTTGCCGACTACACTCATGGGTGTAACCACGCTTAGTGATCCGGTCCTCAGGGTCTTAGGGCGACGTTTTAACCACTGAGCTAAGTCTGCGCTGATTAATGCTGACGCTAGTCCAAGCTGGTTTTCGGCGGCTGGCAGCTTTGATTCACACCAAATCTGCCCACGTTGTGTTCTTCATCTTAGAGTAGTAGGAAATCGACGGTCGCAGTGCCGGTTCAAGTCGTGGTGGGTGCAATATTAAGGAAGGAAATATATTTTCATAAATAAAATATAACGAAAAGATTCCTTAAGTTAATCTTCAATTGGTTTATATTGTCTTAGTACAATAGAAATTAACCCTTCTCACATCAATCTCTATAGTGACACTGAGCCTTGTCTAAAATTCTGGAGAAGATAGGTTCAATGTTCTTCAGAATCAAGAAATCTGGTGGCAACTGAATTCCAGAGACACTCAGTGCTGGTTCTCAGCACCAAATGTCTGAGCTCCCAAAATCATCTGTTTATATGCATTTCGGCCCCAAAATGCCGTGGGGCTGAAGGGTTCTAAGGATTTGGTAATTCCTAGATTTTTACATTAATCACAATAAAAGTTTTCTTTGCTCCCTATTTCTGCTTTCTTAATCAACTTTTCAAATTTGAAGAATTATCTACCTTCTTGTGAGTTGTCACAGAGATTGCTCCTCCCCTAACTCCAACCTTTTTCACTTCCCATCTCTCACCAACACTCCACACAAGCGTTGATAGATTATTCCTCTTCCTCCTTTTCGCTCGGTATTCTTATTCTGCCCACCTCTCAGGGCTCGCATAACTGTCTTTGTGACAAATCTAATTTTTAAAGTGCTCACTCCCACTCCCCTAGAATTACCTCTCTCCAACGAGAACGCAAACCAGATCACTGCCTTCTCATTTAACCTTCCAAGCAATAGATAAAATTATTTCCCAATTTGTTTTCGTCAACGAAAATATATTAGTTTCCCTAAATTCTCAACAATGAAACAAACAGTTCTCTGTCCTTGATTTGATCACTGTGTTACCGAAAACGTAAAGCAGACCACCTTCCTTGGACGACAGGATCGATTTTCATAATCTTAACATTCACAGCGGGTTCATTTACTGTTTTCATTTCTCAATTCATTTTCGCTAAAGAAAATATAATTCCCGTCTGTCTGTCTGTTTTTCTCGCAAATGGCATGTGTTTTTCTAATTTCTCAAGAAAGGCATAAAACCACTTTCCAATTTGCTTTACCTGCATGCAAGGTTTTAGGTAGAAAACTAAACACTTAGTTCATCGGTTCAATTGGTAGTGAGGAGACACTCCAGATGGCCCTTTTTTCACTTCCCCACTACCAGGAACGTCTGTCGTTCCCCTTCTCTGTTTCTATCTTCCAGTTTATATTTCCTTTTGTACTTAAAACTTTTTCTGCTTTGAATTAACATTTAACCAACCCACATCCTTAGTTTTACATCTTGACTTCAGTCACTTTCTCACTGTGACGTGACGTGGCTTCCTACTCTCTTTTCTACAAATATTTTCATGGTAACGGCTCTGACGATCTTTTTTCCCTGGTACCTCGAATAAATGAATTCCTACCCGTGGAACTCGCTTCCGATTTCTTGATCCCTGATAACTACAATCTCCAAAATTTAAATGCAAAATCAACCGCCAGCTTCTTTCTTCTTGAACACTGTTATTTTTGTCCTGACTTCAATATTCCCCATGTTCAGTCTTATTATTCTCTCTGACTTTCATTCCCTGTAAACGCCTGCGTTCTAGGAAATATTGTCTTGCTTTGGGTGAAATGATTAAAAAAAATCATCGGCTATAGAGAAAGGGGTATAGTTTTTATACTGCAAAGAAAAAGCGCTTGAATATTTCTTCAGTATGGAAAGGAAATACAAATAAAATATTATGAATAATTTTAAACTTTTAAAAAACTCTTCAACGCGTGGAAATGGTGTTAGAAAAAAATGAAGTCATTGTATGTTTAGAAATGTCTCATGACATCGCTTAATGGAAAAATAAAATTTCTGGAAAAAATGACACGAAACTTTTCAGTTGGGAAAGGCTGTCAATTTGAACCGTTCTTTCAGTTTTATCATATTCGAAATGATCGTTCAATTTTTACATTATTCACTTTAGTCAAAGAGAAATTGAAACTTAAATCAGAAAACCGATAACGGTTCACTAAAAAAAATCGTTTAAGGCAATAGTGGCAACATTCCGTCTTTCGTGGGAAATGTTTTCATTTAATGTTATTTTTTTTATTTTTTTATCTTTTTCTTAATAGCAAAGTTGTTTTTAAGGTCATTTTCTTTATTTTTGAAATTTTATAATCCTTCTTTCTTTCTTTCTTTTTTATCCAAAATATTCGTTTCTTTCTTGTGTCATGAGAAAAAAAAAAGGATGTTGTTTATTTTAATCTCGAATCATCTTTTCATTAAATAAGATTTCTTTTTATATCTTTATCACATTCTTGTCTTTCTTGTTTTTCTTTTCTTGTCTTCTTTCTTTCTTTCTTTCTTTCTTTCTTTCTTTCTTTCTAAGGACTAACATTTCTGTGCTCTTTTTTGTGTTAAACGTCCCTTTTTCCTTTCTTGTGACACTTACGTATTTTTCAGTCAATATTTTTCCTCTCGAATCATCTATTCATTAAACGTGTTGTCTTTATTTACATCTCATTCATATTCCTGTTTTTTTCTTTTTCTTTCTTTCTTTCTTTTTTTCTTTCTTTCTTTCTTTCTCGCTTTTTTGCTTTTGTTTATTTGTTCTTTCTTTCTTTCTTTCTTTCTTTCTTGTGATATTTATATGACCTGTTCTATTTTTTAATTTTGTTTTCACTTACTACTGTTTCTATTTGTTTATAATTCTTTGTTTGTTTGTTTGTTTGTTTGTTTCTTTCTTTCTTTCTTGCTCGCTTTTTTGCTTTTGTTTATTTGTTCTTTCTTTCGTACTTTGTTTCATTTTAATCCTAGTCTCTATTCTTTCTTTCTTTCTTTCTTTCTTTCTTTTTTCTTCTTTCTTTCTTTCTTTCTTGTGATATTTATATGACCTGTTCTATTTTTTTAATTTTGTTTCTATTTGTTTATAGTTCTTTGTTTCTTTCTTTGTTTCTTTCTTTGTTTGTTTAACCGTTCTTTCTTGTGCTCTTTGTTTCTTTTTAATCCTAGTCTCTTTCTTTCTTTCTTTCTTTCTTTCTTTTGTGTGATATTTATATGGCCAGCTCCATTTTTTTTTTACTTTCGGCCTGTTCCTATTTCTTTCTTTCTTTCTTTCTTTCTTTCTTTCTTTCTTTCTTTCTTTCTTTCAGACCATTTTATTTATTTTCCTACTCCCCGTTTCCATCGCACCCTTTTTACATTTAATCTTCTTTTTCTTTCCGTTTATTTAATTCCTCCATTAAATCGCCTCCTTTTTTTTTCCTTTTCTGACTATCTCTCCTCCCGTTCTGCATATCTCCAGTAATCTTCTTCATCTCACCCACTTCAGGAGTCATTGCCCTATTTAAAAGACTTACTCATACAACTGCAGTCGCATGTCAACATCGATTGTACTGCCATACTTTGACATTACGATAAGGCAAAGTGTCTCATTTTCCAGCCGATCGAATTTTATCACATTTTCTCCTCACTGCACTCGTGTCACTTGGCAGACTGGACTTGCTGCCCTCTGGCCACAGGTCAGCGAAAGACGCTCAGTGACCGGATGAATCGTAAAGTGGGCTGTACGGGAGCTGATCAAAGTTAATTACAATGTAAGAGACTTGGGAATAATAATGCTGACAGTATTAATATTAGAAGTGATGAAGATTATAGCAAACATTTTTTTTTGATAATATGCAAACATTGCAGTAGAATTTAAGCACCGTTGCGCATTCTTGACGCAGCTATTTATCTCCTGCCTAATTATCAAGACACGGCCTTTTCAAAACCGGTTAGGAGTGAGGGTAACACTTCTATCTAGTTAAAACTTACTTGTTACAGAAATCACACTATGCTGAACCTGCGACCCTATATTTCATAAAGGAGTCTACAGCGCTAACATACTAATGTACAATTCATCATTAATTCTTTTTTTTTATGTACAGTGTTCTTTTACGACATGGATATTATTGCTCTACCTAGCTTCCCATTCTTTCTAGCTCGTAGCAGTGTTTGACTTTTTACTGTCACTATCCAAATCTGTTCTGTCATCTATTTGCACTAGGGCGTTAGTGTTATACACCTACCTACGAAAACTAATTTGGCACTATTGTAATTTGGGGTAATGTGCTGTCTATGTAGCCCACCACTAGCAGTGGTTTACCTGCTTCACGCCGCTGGCGAGTATTATATTTTTTTGATGTTATAAAGATTACCATTTTCATTTCCAACCTCCGTTTTGGTTATTCCTCTTTCAGTAACATTTTTTAGATTACAACAATTAGATATGTTGCTTGCTTTTTTCCCTCTTGCTTTTAATATGTCTTGTGAGTGTTAAATTCTCCAGGTTTTTTTTCTCATTATGTATTCCAGAAATTTCATTTTTTTTCCTGATTTTATATATAATTTTTCTCTTTGTTTCCATTTTCCTTTAAACTTCTTTGTTGCTAAAATGCTCCGGTCAGAGTATACTCAGCATTCTTCTGTGGAAACATATCTGTGTGGTAGAGTTAGTTTCGCTCAACACAACACATTTCTACAAAGCCAAAACATTGAGCTGAAAACTTTAGCTTTGTTCTCAGTCTTGCCAGATCGAAACTTTCATATGGATGTTAAGCATGACGCATAAATCTTTAAGAAATATCTAAACTGTCAGTTGTAAACGACTGATTTCTCTGATCAATGATTAAAAATGTCATCGAGGGAATCAAACCTGTAGGTCTTAGCAAGGACCATTCATCTTCGAACCATGTGTACTGGTGCTACATAATTATAAACAAATAACTGAACCAGATAACGGAAAACACATCAACTACCCTGAATCCATCATAAAAATAGTAAATGCTAAACACTTCGGATACCTCGGTGTAGGGATCAGTTATAAGAGTTTTAATATAGGTAATAAGGAATATGAACATAGAATAGGTTGCGCCAGGTGTAGTTTCACCCAAAACCGTAAATTTAATTGTTTTGTGTATATTTTAAAGTCCCATAAAACTTTTACAGGTCCTATGTGCGTAACCGAGATTGGGTGGTGTTCAATTTCTTGCAGTTTTCTTTCTGTAAAAGTTGCATATTTTCAAGTGCAGATATTGGCTCACTCTTTCATACCGAGTTTTATATTCAGTAGGTGCCAATACGGCGCAACATTATACAAGATGATCAGTTGTTTCTGGATATTTATCAGAGAACCTGCATTTGGGTCTAACACAATTTTTCAGTATAAGTGCTTAGTAATTTCTAATTAGCAAGCATTGGTCCGGTGCAACAAGATTATTATTATTATTATTATTATTATTTTTATTTACTTTGATTTCTCGCGTTTACACATTTCTTTCCGGGTCCCGCCCAGGGATCTAAGGTTAGAAATGGCATCATGACACTTTCCACTGCCAAAAAAAAAAAAAAAAAAAAATACATAGATAAAGCCCTTCGTAAAGTGTGGGCTGTACTTGTCAAAACAATTTTTTGTATCTCCTTGAGGCATGGACTTCCATGAATCCCTTCAATTAGTCTACTGCAATCTTTTCCAACCAGTCCTTGGGCTCCAACTACAACAAGGATTGGTGATGTTCCCATATGCCATATTTTCGAGATTTCTATTTCAAGGTCCTTGTATTTTGACAGCTTTTTGAATATCTTCAAAGATACATTGCAGTCAGCAGGGACTGCCATATCAATAAGGAGGCACCGTTTATTATTATTATTATTATTATTATTATTATTATTCCTTTGATTGATAGTGTATACTCATTTCCTTCCGGGTCACAAGAGACGCAAGGTCAAAAATAGTATCATGACATTTTACACTGAGCATTTTTTAAAACTCAGATCATACACATTTTACATAGATAAAGCCCTTCGTAATGTGTGAGTTGTACTTGGATTTCTTTATTACTGTTACTATTATCATTATTGCTATTATAATTATTATTATTATATCCATTCGTTTCTGTTGTATACACATTTCGTTTCGGGTTCCAACAAGAGACCTCAGATCAGAATGGCTTCATGACATTTTCCACTTATCCTTTTTGCAATAAAAATAAAAACGCAGATTAAAGACATTTTACATAGATAAAGCCCTTCCTAAGATATGACCTGTGCCAAAACATAGACCAGAAAATTTCAGCTAGTTTTTAAATAGCCTCGCCAGATCAACAAGTGATTCAAAATATTAGTAAAATACTTCTAAAATCTAGTAAAATTTTTTTACCTTGTAAAGCTATCACACCAGATATCATGGTGGTTACTTTTTTCAGGGATGTTGACGCAATACACTGACGAATCGAATATAAAACTACCCACCATCAACTTTTGCCACATACTTCGCAGATTATACAAAACTATATACTGTAAATATTTCTCCGGTCATCTGATAGCGAGGCTTTATCGAAGCGTTAACAGCTGAAATCCGTTGCATTTAACTTTCTCCGGCATCACGACGACGATCCTCCGTTAACTTAATCAAACTCAATTGGAAGCTAATGACATCAGTGGCTGGCCGGAGTCAAGGGATTAAAACAGAACCCCAGGGAATGGCTTTAATTCCCAACATCAATTTCTTCTGCTACACTATATGGACTTGTCTATCAAAATACCCTCAGCATTCATCCTGACGTGCAGATAAGACGATCTCTCTTTCTATCACACTCTCACACTATGTATCTATTTATGGTGGGGTGTTGCAGTCGAGTAATTATCCGGATTTTAAATCGATCTAGAGACCTCTTCTCTTGGTTAATACATTTTGATCAGAGGATTTCTGTTTTTGTATGGAGCTTGTCAAAATGTATGCACAAATCAACGAACAGCTACTGTCGGCAAGTGCTTCCTTCATCTCTCTCTCTCTCTCAGTTGCTTTTCATCTCAATTATTGGGACCGTCAATCAGCGGCAATTAGTAAACAGTACTGATCGCACATAAAGAATAACCTATATAGGTGAGAACTGAATTGACAACTCGTTTTGCTTTTGCTCTTAAAAATTAAACCATAAGATCTTTACTTCTGGAAGAGCAGTTAAGATAGAATCCACGAGACAACATATTCGATTCGAGCCTCGTCTTGAGGTTATTTTATTTCGAACCTCGTCATTTAATAATAAACAGTGAATTTCAAGCCGAGTACTTGCAACAACTTCTTTTTTATAAGCCAAGTTCTTATTGCTCTAGAAAACATCTATCTTGTAGTTTTTGAGTCTTTGCCATTCCACTTTTTTCTTGTTCACAAATCCATTCCGACATACCCATTAATCAGGTTGCTCGGTGCTTTCAATGTGTACTTTGAGTGTTAAATTCTCTGTGTCTTCTTTCCACATTATTTCAGGGATTTTTTATATTCTGGACTATAAGTACGAGTTCCCAGACGGTTTCTGTTCTAAAAACTTTATCATTTTTCTCGGGATGAGTGGGATAGGCGAGGAGTTGGTAGAGCAGGTTGAAGTGATTTAGCAGACATTTTCCCAAGTATCACCTATTCTGGACTATAAGTACGAGTAACTAACAAACTTTAGCCACTGATATGGGCAGTAAAGGGATTTTCAGGGATCAAGTGGCAACAAAACAGGAAATAGGGTATATCCGGTTATTGCTGTACATTAACAGTCATGGATCGGAGATAGTTTTGTCCATTTCTTCGGGATGAGTTGGATAGGTGAGGAGTTGGTTGAGCAGGAAGAGCTGACATAGCAGACATTTTCCCAAGTATCACCTATTCTGGACTATAAATACGAGTTCCCTGACGGTTTCTATTCTAAATAACTTTATCATTTTTCTCATGTTCTGCTCATAGCATTTTATTATTTGTTGGTAGAACCAAATCTCAGGTATCAAACCACGTCTACATCGGCGAGAACTGTGATACCATGGATAGACACGTAGAAAGTGAAGATATGGTTTTATCTCGATCTCAAGTGTTTCCTTTTCATAGACCAGCGGCTGTTTTCTTTTTTAATTTTGATCTTCTAAAAACTAACAACTTTAGCCGCTGATATGGGCAGTAAAGGGATTTTCAGGGATCAAGTGGCAACAAAACCGGAAATAGAGTATATCCGGTTATTGCTGTACATTAACAGTGATGGATCGGAGATAGGTTTGTCTATTTCTTCGGGATGAGTGGGATAGACGAGGAGTTGGTAGAGCGGGAAGTGCTGACATAGCAGACATTTTCCCAAGTATCACCTAACCGCCCCCATGTGCAGGTGGAGACTTGAATAAAACAACTGGATATAACATGTCAAAGTAGGTTCGTGTTCTTATTTCTCGATGAGTCATTTAACTTTCATCTTGTGACTATTCAGCACGGCCATCGCTAGCTTTCGGTGC